TACTAGTTCTATGGCCCTGGCTTAAAAGCCTTGTTGCTACTAGTCCCCTTGCGACGCTACTCTGTCTAAGGAGTTGGTATTTAACCGAGCTTCGTCTCAACCAACTTTCTTGGGAGTATACCTAATAATTGTCTTTCATGTGTTGGTTTAATTTGTTTGTTAGGCTTTAAATTCCCTTTTGCCAAGTGATAACAATTTTAGATTAATTAATTAATTAAAGAGTTGCCACAGCATCTTTAATTTACTAAAAATTGTCTAAAGTTCAAATCACATAAAGATGGCAATGATAAATGTCTAGTGATATTATAATTTTAATTAGTTGGGGAGTAGCCATAGCATCCTTAATCAGTTAAAATTATATATTGAGTTGTTAGGGTCACATAAAGTTCTAGACATATCAATTGTGATTAATTGTATCTAATATGATGGAATTTAGCCCACAGGCAATTTCGTTATATTTGTATGATTAATTAGGATGAAATACTGAACTATGATCATAATTTAGCCCACAGGCAATTATGTATCGGAATGTAGTTTAGTAGTTTTATCAGTAATGATAGGAATAAAGAATTTTACTTACTTTATAATTAATTTTCACCTCTATCATGAAGCTTAATTTTATGATGTAAACTTTAGGTCATATATCTTAATTTGCCCACAGGGATTAAGATAAAGAACATGATCTCTTAAGTTTTTTTCTAATAATGGTTGTAATGAATCTAATTGAACTAAAACTTCAGCCTACAGGCTAGTTTTATGTCATTGAATTCTTCAACTCATTTGATAATTGTATGGTTGTAATGAATCTAATTGAATTAAAACTTTAGCCCACAGGCAAGTTTTTATGTCACTTGATTCTTCAACTCATTTGATAATTGTTTCATCATAAAATTTCAGTTGGATCTTATTGAGTAAAACTTTAGCCCACATGCAAGTTTTATATCACTAGATTCTTCTGGCCATTTAGTAATTGAGATTAAAATATTATCATAAGGATTTCTTAATTGAATTTAATAGAATTAAAACTTTAGCCCACATGCAAGTTTTATATCAATAAATTCATCAACCCATTAGATAATAATTTTATCTCAATTGCTTAGAATTTATAAATTTAGTTCAATTATAATTCTAAGTTTCGTGGTTTGCATTGGCAAAACATGTATTTAGTCACTTTCCAAAATTTAGATGCACCCTTTAATTATTTTTCACGAAGCTTACTTGGTTATTTGGACTAACTATAGTAAGTTGCGTGATATGATATGCCTCTTATGGATTCCAATAATAAAATATATCTTCTGAGTCGAATTCCAACTTGGTTTTGGAAGGCGTATTTTATTATTTTAGTATGTCCAACTATGGTGGAGAATCATGTCCTCATTAATTATTCATTTAGTTGGACTATAATTGGAACCAAATATTGATTATTTAGTATTCCCAACTAATGGTGGAGAATTATATCTTCATTATTTAGTTGGTCAAATCAATTATGAGTGTTATATCATTAATTTGGCTAAAGAATATCTTAATCAGTGGGAGTGATCATTTAGAAAAGATCATTAAGATACTCCACTAAAGCTGATGGATTTAGTTGTTTTCATACATTCTAAATTGGATTGTGCGTCTAGAAATAAGTCCAAAAGTTTCCACAAGTATTAATTTAGTCTTTTGTTCTTATAATTCATAAGTTCATCATTGAACGTTTGGTTGTACAACATATTTATGAAAATGTTGTAACAATATTAATGAATTTATTAGAACGAAAACATTTAACTTGTGGTGCACTGACAATTAATAAATTCTTTAGCAATTAACAGAGTTTTTAGTTTCTTCAAAATTGATCCTGAGCCATTTTTGGTTTGTAAGTCTCAAAACAATTTTGTAAGACATAATAAGACTCGTAATGTTCAATTAATTTCGAAGTGGACCTTGAGATTATTTAGGAAGTTGGTGTATGTTTAAGATTCCAAATTATTGACTTAGACCTTATGGTTTATGTTATTGGAATGTTTCTATGACTTGACTATCTTTTGGCTATCTTAATGAGTGGGAGTGACAGACGTGTCAACTCCAAGCTCTTAGTCGTTAGAGGTAGTATTTATGTTAACTTATAAATAAGTCATAGAATATAGTTAGCATTATGCTAACATTAAGAGATCTCTACTTAAGGCATGCTTCTAAGATTTTAGAGATCATACAATGAATTTGGATGGTTTCTTCTTTCAGTTGTGCACATAATATATTTTGAGAAACATCCCTTAAGGGACTAAGAATAAACGTAGGGTTTGTTCATAAAGAACCTAAGTTAGGGAATTTAAAATGCATGTGATCATAGAAGATATTACTCACTTGATTAATAGATGACGTATTACTATGGTTCATGTATTTTGTTTTTTAATGAGGGTTGTGCCAGCACTTGCACCAAGTGGGAGAATGTAAGTATTTTCCCTGTATACAATATATAATACATTGTATTATTGGGTGGTTGTGGTGCAAGTAGGAGATTGAGTCAATTAGTGACTTAATCTGTTAGGCAAAACAAGGATATTCAGTTTAGGATTAACTGAATATCTGCCTACATTGATGGCATGTAGGCTTCTAAGCATAATGAGTCCTCACACAGCTCCCGGGTTCAGGATACACGCACCATCAGGTATTCGGGAGAGAAGTGGTAGACAAAACACTAACGTTTATCCTGCAGGTTTCCATGACAACACTAACAACTATGGCTAGGGATATTCAGATGATCCTGAAGCTTCCACTACTACGAGTCAGGTTACTCGTTTACTTCAGTTTGTGTTAGTAAATATTATTGTCTAACAGCTATCGTATGATATACGAAAGCCGCATTTCTTAAACGCGGCTATGTGTATACGACAACCGCATTTGGGAAATGCGGCTGCCGTCTATTATACGACAACCGCATTTCCCAAATGCGGTTGTCCGTAGAATAGAATTGTGACCCACACGAGTTTGGGAAATACGGTTTTGACCCCAACCGCGTTTCCCAAACTCGTTTTTCCTATTCCTATCAAAAAAAAAAAAAAAAAAAAAAAAATCTCATTATTGTCCAAAACCATTTGTCTCTTCCCATTTCAGTCAAAAACCCTTTAATAGAATTTCAATTAATAGTATATAAACAACGATATAAACATTAAAAGTTTAATTAAGATGATATTAAATAATCACTTGTCTGCATTAACTCAATATATTAAGTAAATTTTTCATGAATTTATTATGTATATCTAATCTAATCTAACCTAAAAAGATAATAAGTCTCAATTAAAATTATATTCCTCATTTATGTCCATGTTTTTAGTATTAATCATTTTGTACGTTATGCTTTTAGAGTTGTACTATATAAATTTTTGGACAAAAATACCCCTACCGTTGTAACTTCCGTTATCTTTTTCATTATTGTTACCATGCACATGCGTCCACCATATATTTTCTTATATTTTTTAATGATAATAATATTTTGTAGATATTATATATTGGATTATTATAATAAATAAATTTGATTTCATATATCTTTTAATTAGCATGAATTTGTTAATTATTTTAAAAGATATAAATATTGGGCATATGTTTTTGCACATCGCGGAAAAGACTAGTATATATTGTAAAAGACGATGTTATGAAGGCATACAACATACCCCATGGTAGCTAAATATTATCATCCATATCAATTTAGACCTGGCAATTCGTGTATACGGGTCCATTAACGGGTCGACACGATAACGACACGGACAAGATAAGACTAAACACGAACACGACACGTTAAGGTTAACGGGTTCAAATTTTTAACACGAACACGAATACGATTTGTTAACGGATTAAACAGGTTGACACGATAGACACGTTTTGTTAACAGGTTTCAAGTCGTGTCGACACGATATGACACGAAACCCGTTTAAACCCGCTATCGCTATTAATATATTTAAAAAATTAAAATTTAAAGTTAAGTTCTATAAAAAAATATAAATAAATAAAAACTACCATTCAATTCATCAAACGAACTAAAAATATTCAATTCATAATATTCATAAAAAGATAAAATAACATTCAAAAATCATAATTAAAGGAGTCTATACAAGTTTTTAGAATAAAATTGAACACAATAAAAATTCAAATTTCAAATTGATGAACATCAATTAATTGGTGTAGGATCTTGGCCTAATGTAGTAATTTCATCCTTAGTCATGTTCATAATATCTTTTGTAATCTCAATAATGACAATGGTTCTTACCTAAATGACAATGATTCTTAGCGGGTGATGTGGATAAATAAAGCGTATGTAAAAGTATATATTGATATAAAGGTGAATACAACGGGTTAGAGGAAGTTCGATCGTGAAGGATGACCGGGAACCTCTCTAGCCTAGCTAGTACAAATATCCAAAAGTCCTCTACTCAAGCAATTAATGCAGTATTTATAGGGAACATGGGGAACAGTGTCCGGTCTTCCGGCATGTTGGACACGTGGTGAACATGCACTGGGGGGATGAGCGGCTGGCATGCAACCCTACACGTGTATCAAAAGGTTCTGCCTCCGATCTTGTCCCTAGCCGGCCACATGTCCCGGTCTCCGGTCGACAACTCGAAGCTAGAAGGGCGCTTCCTCCAAAGGTACGACCGGGTGACCGGGGGGACGGTGCTCCCTCCAAAGGTACGACCGGGTGACCGGGAGGACGGTACTCCCTCCAAATGGACGACGTGGCGATTGGGCGAGAACGCCGACCCGCATGACCGGGTGAGACGGTCGGGTCGGTAGGGCGCCCCGTATGGCCGGTGTATATTCCCTATCAGCGGGTTATAAACATGTTTGGTAAACGGGTTCGTGTTAACGGGTTAACACGATAATATTAACGGGTTAAACAGGTTCTTAATAGGTTTAACGGGTTAACCCGTTAAGACACGAAACATAACGGCGGGGCCAGTCCTACTGTTTTATAGGCCCGGGGCAAATGAAAAAACAAAGGCCCTATAGCTATACCATATACAAAAGTTAACCTAAATTTTTAATTCAATATATGAGTACAAACATACTAATATTTAAAAAATTCCATAGCTCTTCTTTGAGAGTCTACTAAATGCTCAATTTTTTTTTCTTTTGTGCTTCCGGATAATTTTTAGGCAACATTATATAAAATAATTATTATAAACCGAGTCTAAAGAACAAAAAAAAAAAAAAAAAAAAAAAACATGTAGAACGCTTGCACTTTAGACACCAAAGATCCTGATTCCTCATAATCAGTGAAAAGTGTCTTCAATCCCTTCATAAATAAATGAATAAACACATTACAAAATTTACAAAATAAAATAAAATTATTTTTCAAATAAACCTAATAAATTTACAATTTCATTGTAAATAGGAATCCTAAATAGAATTATTTAAGACAATTAGGATTCCTAAACATAGTTTGAATAATGGGATTAAATTACAATTTTGTAGAGGATTTAGATAAATAGATCATTAGAGGTTATTATACAGAAATTATTGCACAAAGCAATTGCACATTTGCAAAGAATTGTGATAAATCGTAAATATATAATTAGAGGCTATTTGCAATCCGTAGAGAATGAGAATACCATGACGGGGATGAGGACTTGACTCCTTATTTAATTGTTTAGTTTTCCACTTGTTCGGTGATTATGCGAGACAGACGAAGCCCAGGCATCGAACTTGCGAATCCGAGATTAGGCGAAGCACACGAAGCACCGAAGTTAGCCTTGTGAATCCGCCGTTAGCGAAGCAGACAAAGCCCAGGCGATTGTCAAGTCTGCAGGTTTTTTAAATGTTTTGCGATTGTGGATTGCTAATTAGCTTTTCTCTTTTGAATTTTCTGAACTTTTTCTTCTTCTTTTTTGAAAAGCTTTATGAACATTTATTGACTCCATTTGTAGTGTGGAGAAACTTTAGGTGATTGCTGGCTAAGAGGTTGATGCACGACTCTTGAATTTCTGGTTGGACAACGTGGGTGGCGTGTGACTGTTGATGCACGACTCTTGAATTTCTGGTAGTTGGGCAACGTGGGTGGCGTGTGACTATGTGAGGCGGCTCGAATTAAATTCTCGACTCTTCGTCTCCGATTTCAGAAAACCAGATAAATTAATTTTTTTAATATATAAATAAATATAATATATATATATATATATATATATATATATATATATATATATATATATATATATATATATCTTAATCTTATAGGCCATTGGGCCCCTTCCAGAGATGGGCCCTAGGCAGGTGCCCAGCTGGCCCTGCCCTAGGGCTGGGCCTGCGTGGTAACGGGTCCTTAACGGGTCAACCCGTTAATGACCCGGGACACGTTAAGGCTAAACACTAACCCGTTACTTTCGTGTCCGGTTTCGTGTCGTGTTAACGGGTCGTGTCCATAATTGTCAGGTCTACATATCATCTTTTATTTTTCATATGATCTATTTTGTATATAAGTTTAAAAAAAAAAAAAAAACTATCAACAAGAAATGGCTAAAAATTAACATTTTTTTCTCTCTCCTTTTATCTCTTTCTTCTAACTCATCTAAAATTCATTAAAAAGGCTTTGTTGGCAATGCTCTAAGAGCAACCACATCATTCTTGAATTTGTTTGTGATTTTTAGGTGCCACTTAAGAGAGAGAGAGAGAGAAAAAAAAAAAAAAAACCAAAAAAACCAAAAAAAAACAAAAATAGGACAACCTATTAAAAAAAATTTAAAAAAAAAAAAAACACCGTTTCTTCTTCATAGTGGTCGCTAGCTGTCAGCCACTCTAAAGCACCCCCAGCGGACGCATGAGAAACACGTGCCTCTGGGGCCGACAGTGCGCACGCATGCCAACTATCTGTTTTCTTTTTAAAAAATGACAAAAACCAAGATATTGCAGGGAGTAAAATTCCCCCCCCCCCCCCCCCCCCCCCCAAAAAAAAAAAAAAAAAAAAAAAAAAAACATCCCTCATCAACAAAAAAACAAATCTTTTTTTTTTGTACTGTTCCAAAAACTAACAAAAAATCATTGGTGTGGTTGCTATAATGTTATGCGTGAAAGACACAATTACATGCATTAACTCTCCCTTTTATCATGCTTATTTTTCAGCTATCAATATATGTATGGGTCTTAGAGCAAAATAAATGGTGGGATTTTTTCGTTTCGTTAACTCGATCATATTAGATTATGTGGCTTTAGTGTATGGGTTTAAGGTTAACAAACTAGGTGCAATCAAAGAGTTCCGAGCTTGATACATAAGGATTAAAATCTCTCTAAAAGTTCCCTCATGAATGTATTTAATGTGCATTAAATAGGAAGAGACGGGGAACACTACTTGTCAGGCTTCAACATGCCTTACCACATTCCGCGGTGCTTTATCGTGGTAAAGTGTCTTTACGAGACTGACACTTCACATGATAATGATGTGATAAGAGTTTATGATCGAATTAAAATTATTGCAAGGTTGTTAGATGTCTAATCCACTTTTTCCGACCATAATTATATCCTTTCTGATCCCATGCCGGTCGATGTTGGGATAAATCATACTAATTTTGGTCGGATATGATTGGTAGTGATTAATTACCAAACACAATGCTAGGTAAACGAGGTATATTATCTATCAATAGCTTTTTGGAGTTATGTGAAAAGAAAGAGAAAAACAAGCAAACAAAAATCAAACGAATAAAAAATTCAAGTGGTAACCACTTGACAGTGCTAATGCGTGCAACATACACTAGCGCCCTTTATAATAACGATATAATAAAAATAAAAAATTTATTGTAAATTATCATGGAAACTTTTTATACTCGGTACCACCCAAAATCAATGGTAAATGTATCGAATTTGTGCCAAACGTCCACCACAATACTTGTACAAGCTCAATATGTTTTAAATTTTTTAAACTTTACACTAGATACAAGAATGGGTCGGGTGGGGGATTCTTCTAAAATAAAGTGAAAATGCCACTTCCCCGAAACTTGGTCATGGCATCTATGTCCGCCTATTCCACCGGAACAATATAATGCTAATCGATACGAGTCTTTCCCCAACCACTATTGTGTGGACCATGGTCTACACAAGTTGTGTGAACAATATTTTATAAACCGTAAAATAATGTACATTCAATACAAAAATAATGTACATTTAATTTATTAAAAATGTATATTTTGTTATGGTTCACGTACAAAAATAATGTGGACTCCGTATCATTCGCTGTATATATGTGCTACTTCCGCACATAATCATGTATTGAATGTTAAATGCGTGCAGTAACTGGAGAATTATCTAATTTCCTAAAAAACATCAACATCTCCATAATTTGCAAATATGCAATTAACCTCTATTACTCTAGGATCAAGAGTAAATACAATGTTCTATACAAATGAATTTTGAAGAGCTGACGACTATGCAGCATTCCTAATTTCAACGCCTATTAGTACTCCTTAAATTTCTTGCAAAATTCATACCCCCAAACTAGGCATTCAAAATTGCCATTTTTTGCAGTTCACATATTGAATTATTTTCATAAGAAACTGAATGAAAACAGCAATTAATAGAATTGAATGACTCCTGTTATTGCAATGGGTGGCTCAACCTCAACACGCTTGGCCTTTCCTTCTTGAAGTAATTGCGGTAGTGAATTGGCTTCTACAGGCGCAGTTCCTTTGCTGGTCCATAATGTCACGTGAGACCATTCATTTTTAGACTGAATCTTTTCACCATTAATAGATCCAATGCAAGCTTCAAGTGCAGCCACCCTTTCAGAGAATAATAGAGCCGTCATTTCTACAGGCACCTGTTGATGAAGAAAGGGAGCAAAACTTGCAAGAGCTGCCACACTGTGACTTCCTTTATGAGCAAGCGTCACGTGGGCCTTTTGAAGGTGGCTTCCCAAGTTTTTGTCCTTAAGAAAAGCTCCGGCTTCAGAGTCATTCTTAGCCAACTGTCCAAATTGTTAATCAGATCGTTAGATGAAAAGTTTAGCCTCTCCCAAACTATGTGGTTTGTGATGTGTATATGAGATTTGCTACTAGTAGATACTTATCTTGGAGCTCATCTACTCTAAAAAGAAGAAGCTCAACCAAACAATAAAAATCACAAAGTGGCATTTCAGGCCTGATAACAAGAAGCCACCTCTTTTTCAAGGAGTACCAGATAAAAGCTTTTTAAAAAAACCTCTTTTTGACTGGGCCAAACAAGCTAACACATGTATAAACAGATGGAAACATCGAAATATATATATATATATATATATATATATATATATAGTGTTTCTGTGCATGCAAAGAGACTAAAATGTGATTTCTAGCCAATTGGCAATTGCCTTCATGGTCAGGTAGGTTGAGCTATTCACTCACAACCACTTCGCTTCAGAAAAAAAAAATCTAATAAAAGGTCAAAGAACACCACCACAGCAATACTACTGCAGTACTGCCAGTGGCATGTAAACAGATTTAATAGATAAAATTAAATCCTAATGTTTACTCCATGACATAAGAGTTACTGCATGGATTTGTTGTTATTATTATTATTACTATTATTATTATTTTGATAATGTTTATCTGATTATTCATGATAGAATCAACCAACTCCCAGATAGCCAATGAATATAAAAAATTTCTCTTTTAAATCATCATACAAATAATTGCCACATCAGGGAGTAATTTTAGGAGGGTGGTGGTAAAATAACATTTTTCTTAATAGATTTAGGCATTTTACAAACAGTAAAAATGTTGATGTCTTTAAGATATATAGTGCTCTACCAAGTTTTAGAAATGCAGATAGAGAAGTGAAGAGGGGTGAAAACAAGCTTACATTATCAAGAAGACTTTGGACTTCTGTAACAGGCAAGCTGACGGCAGCAAACACAATTGTTCCAAGCTTCCTCTTCTCAATTGCTGGTGTCTCACCCGTAGCAATAGCCCTCAGTTGTTCCAATACTTGTTTAACAGCAAATTCAAATGGAACCTGAAAAGTGTGGAGCACAATATTACATGACACCAACTAGACAGCAGCAAGACTTTGGTAGTGGTAAAAGCAGACTCAACACCATGATCTTATGCATATTGAGCTTCCAATGAATAAACAGGTGTTAAACACAACATTTCTAAAGAAATATAGAAGAACATTGATGCAGTTGTTAGTGATTAAGAGTTACTAATAAGAAAATGATAACAAGGCAAAATGAAAGCCAAGAAGAGAAGATGTTAATATTTCAGGCAAAGAAGTACTCTGCATAAAGTAATGACATAACCTTCATCCCATCAGAAGCAATTTTATGCAAGGAATGTGCTTTAGATTACTCTTCCATTTACAAAATTTTATAAGAAATGCTTCCAGAAAATGGCACATGGAGCACCCCAATGACACATAATCAGTGCATAAGGGGCCTCACAAAAGCATCAAATGGATTGTGATATATAAATTAAGCAATCACTATTTTCAGAAAGGACAGTGTCTTGAGACTTACCTAAATGAGAAGAATAAACCCAGAGCAGGAATATAAAATTTCAGTACCAACTATTGATCAAAGAGTAAAGATTTGGAGAAACATTACGAAGTCACAATTCAGGTAAAATTTGGGGAATGACATACACTACAAACATTTCTACCACTAAAAGCAATTCACAGTGCAAGAAGTTTTATTTATTTATTTATTTTAAAGTATGAATGAGGAGTCTATCAACTAGCAAAGAACTGAATATAATATTTTGCTCACCTCCGATGCCTACTAGTATGGAGATGGTACAACTTCATTCCTTCCTCCAAAATAGACTTCACTGAATCCGGTAAAGGAGACCTTCACATTGTATTGTAGAAAAATATGCATGATGTTTTTGGAAAACAAATTGAAAGATAAAAAACCAATAATTGATGATAGAAATGACCTGTCGCAACCAAAACTCTAAAGGATATTACAAGAAGTAAATGGAAACCTTTATATCAAATGAGGGCTTTAAGGTGCAAAAATTATAAGAAGCTAGGAACGTTATCATTTTAATCAATTGCATCATTTTGTTGTTTTATTGGAACTCCCAAATTCCACATCCTCCTTCAGGTAATATCACTAACAAGCATTGCTCTCTTCACTTTTGAGAAACTTCTGTTCAGTTCCGTAGCCATGAAAACTTAACATCACTATCAGACTCTAGCAGTATTTCATATTCCCAAAGCACACATGATGCTTCACCCATTCAGCATACATCAATGAAATGGATATGCTGTAAGAACTGCTTATCTCATCAGAAAACTAGATGCTTCATTTGGTGAAAATGTGAAATTCAAATAAAATTCAGTATTACTGACTATAATTACATCCCATGGCAAGAGAGCAATAGAAGGATGAAAAAACATAAAGATGCAGTGTTAATAGTTGGTGACACAAACATTGTTCAACTATAATAATGTTTGAGAACCAAAAGTTCTCTCATTTCCCTGGTTTGTTCAGACTTCACCTTGCTAATGCCATTTAGGTTGCCTTTACTTTCACTAGTAATACACTAGAGTGGACAGACAACTCATCCTTTGAGAAACCATTCAAATCAAGAGAATATACAATCAAGAACTGATGGATAGCAAACGTCTTTAATGCAAGAGAAAGTGAATCAATCAATCAGATTGAAGATAACTAAAGTAAATATCATGATGGATAAAATGTACTGAAGAAATCATTCTGACCTTTCGGATTTTAGTAAAGGTATTTTGACAAGTGAGCCAAAACGTCCGATCAGATCAGTCTCAAACTCCTCTCGACTCTAAGAAAACATGGACAAATGTATGTGAATGAAATTTTGAAATGACATACCATCACCAAGAATCTTAACAATTAATTAAAAAAATTTACCCTGCCATCATAAAGATCATAAAACATTAGCAATACATAGCCGGCATTTGGTGATGACTTGTCAAGATTTCCCTGTTTGATGAGGAAAAGAGATTCATCAACCATGAGACTCAGCAGAGTAGAATGCCATATAAAAAGGAAGAGTGATGTACCGGATGATTAACTCGGTGTAGTACTCGAAATATGAAAACGGCAAGAGCATCAAGTGAAAATGGATTTCTTTCAGTTCCTGCATGTTTGGTGAAATAAGAGTCAGAATTACAGCTTTTAAAAATACACAAGGATTCAATGAACAAACAAAAAGAAAATGTTACATTAATCAAGATCCAACCAAAACCTACTACCAGTACAAACCAAAAAATCTTTAAAAAATTGGGCAAGAAAAATTAAGGCCAACGTAGTCCAATATAAGGAAACATGGATACACAGGTAGAAAGAACGAAGTTGGATATGGAGCACTATCAATTATGTCGTAGAATATTTAGAATCTCTTGCTTTGCTTCATCAATTCATACTTTAATTTTATACATATACTCCGTAATTGATTGATTTGCAGTATCCAAATTGCTTGATGGCACCAGCTTTTAGCTCAGAGCATACTAAGAGATGCACAGTGACAATCTAGAAAGAGACAGTTATATATCGTGATAACACTGGAGGCATTCTGAAGAAAATAATGATATAGCAAATCTGAAACTGGAGGAGTTCTCCATTGAAAGGCACATAGATTCATGTCCCATTCCTTCAGTGATGCTATTTTCTCCATTGAATAAGGTTGGCAAATACAGCAAGTTGAAATAAAAATAAGTATAATCCAACAAAGTAAAAGTACAGGAAAATCAAGATATATAATAGCACCATAATGCAATTGTGAAGAAGTATGGCAAAGCACTTAATTAATATTGTATGGAAGCTAACATGTATACCAATCTAGCTGTAGACTTTAGAAAATTAAGACATTACAAAAAGAATAAAACCAAAATTTTTTAAAAACCTTCTGAGTCAGGCACAACTGGAATTGCAGATGATTTGGTGCTTCGACACATATCCTCAATCTGCACAAATAAAATGCATTTGTCATGGGCAAAAATATTTAGGTTGCTCAATTAAAAATGTTATAATGTATACAAGCAGAGGAGAGAATAACATAAGCTGGGGGTCCAAATCACATGTGCCATCTACAGGAGGGGGGATTAACAAGACCTCATCCCTAGGAAGAACCAAAGCAGTGGAAAGTACAGACCAAAATCTTTGAAAAGATTTTAGCACCAATGAGCACACCAAGCACTTCTTCAACTTTTCTCTCACAAAATCCAAATTCCTTCTCCTAATGTCCTTCAAAGAAACAACTAAACTATTTCCATTTTTATTTATTTTTTTATAAGAAAAATGGATGTATTAACTGGCACCAAGGAAGTGCCATCTAAAGTACAGACAAAACAAACACAGGATTATCGATGCAAGGTTGAGTTTACCTTTAGAGTTACTACTGAACAATAAAAACTTCTAAAGTAATTCCATTTATCCCAGTTGAGGTTGCTTTGATAACATTTTGCACCATTCTAGTATGGTCTCTCATAAGACCTTCAATTAACAGCCGTTGATAGCTAGGGTGTACATAGTTAAATGCAGAAGTGCTTGACACTGAATTATGCTAATGTATACTAATGGAGAGATGTAAGCAAATAAATAACAAATATTACCTGTCTCCAGACTTCCTCGTTTGGTGCATTCTTGTCAGCAAGCATTACTGAATAAGATTTTGCCCTGCGTGCATCAGCAACCTTCTGCCAGTATCTAGCTGTTGATATAAGCAGTTGGTAATTAAAAAATCTCAGGCTTTGACATCAACTGAAAACCCATCTAATTTTGTAGCAAGAAAGAACCAAATAACACTTTGCTTTTCAGTAAATGGTTGATGGACTAATGGGTTGCACTCTAATCCTAGGAGAGTATCAGGGCAGTTTAGTGGTCTCTGACTCTCTGTACAGTCAAAGTCCATTTCGCATGTATTTCATGCTTAGTAAAAAGAAAAAAGGGGGGAGGGGAATGAGCATAGATCACTACAACCACAACAGTTTATTGAATGAACTACTGAAGGTCCACCCATACCCTTAATAAGATCACCCATTAAACTTTGAACTGGTCGATCATCCCCAAGACCTCCTGGGGCATTCAGTATTTCCTTACATAGTGCAGATTTAGCACAACCAGGTATTCCTGCAATTTAAAACTGATCAAAACGAAAACATACAGCAACTAGCAGCTATGTGCCTGACACCATCAAAGGAAAGTTAATGGTATAATACAAATCCTTTTAAATATCAGGATACAAGCATATACTTCAATAATTTTTCAGGCATTTCAACTTTGCAACAGACATTATTATTAAGCTTCATACGTTTGGAATCTCACCACACAGGTTTTCACTCTTAATTAAGCCTGCAAATGAGTACCAGTCCATTTCTCTTCTTGATTTATCCCATTAATTTTCTTACTGCAAATGATTCCACGGTAAGTTATCAAAAATAAATAAAGAGAAATCCTAAACTAACTCTCACTTTCACATCATTTTCCATAAATAAATAAATGATTTAACATTTGTGCATAATGACATTATGTGCAGTTAAATTAATAATGCATTGCTTCTAGAATACTCTCGCAGTTTTATTGGCATTTGACATGGCACATGGTCTATGAAAAGCTAATTCCATGCTTCTACACCTACTTCTTTTGCTGAAGTATTCCAATAATACCTTTGGTTTTGTATTTGATACATGTAGTCTGGTTTAATGTTGAAGGGCATTAGAGCATTTTACAAACCTATATTAAATGTTCTTAGAAGTCCAGTAGTGGGCAATATTTTTGTGACATCTTGAAAAAGAAACATGGCAAGTTAAATGGAAAAAAGTTCCTATTTACTGAGAGAGAACAATCAAAGTACACAAATTACAAAGTGGCATGTAAATACCTAAGAAACATGAAGCAAATTCCTATTTTCGTTCCCTAGAAAAGAAAATAGTATTTCTCAAGCATATACTTTCTGCTTTTGATAGGTGAATAGATTATATAAAAAAAAGGTGCCGAAGAGACGCCACAAATACAAGTTACAATGAGCATACAGAAAGCACAAAAATCAACACAAATTTGGGCTATTGAAGAAACTGATCAAAGAAAGGGCACTATTAGGATACTCCCCTTCTCATGGATGCATTTTGCAAAATGAAAAGAAAATTAAAAGCACAAACTTTGAAAAGCTTCTTACAAGGCATGAAATATATCAGATGAACATGCAAAGCATGGAAGCAACATAATATATAGCTAAACAATTGGGGAAAAAAAAAAAAACCATCCCAGGAACAAGAACAATACCTGGAAAGAAAACTATGAGACCTTCATCCTTCATAACAGTATCCTTGCTAGAAATACTATGGCCAAGTGGTGGCACATCCTTCTCCTGCTCAAGATCACCTTCTTCATCTCGTCCATCAGTAATAGCTAGGAAATCTTCAGATTTCACAAAGCTTCCAGCAGCTCCAATCAATGCCTGGTTTTGTGGGCTACGCTTTGCATACTGTTCTAGGAAAGGCTCGGCTTCACTGAGATATATGGATGATGAGAGTTGCTTATTCCCATGCTTTCTGCGTATGTACACAGCCCTGGAAACAGAAGTTTACACAAGATGGAATGGATCAGAAACTAAAGGCCAGTTGAAAGGAAAGGCTGTCAACAAGTACCATTCATCTAGCATCTTGCTCATTGCTTGTTGTTTCGCTGGTGAAGTGTTCCAAATCTTCATTTGCCTAGAACCACAAGAAGATTACACAACTGTGAAAATAGGATTTGCATGGACATTATAATACAGCAAAGCTGGCAACAGGCCACTGTGTTCATACACTACCAAAGACCGGATTTCCAGCATTTGCAGGTTTATATAGTGGACTTAATGTAATTACATGCTTATTTTCTAGCAATACCATTGGCTAGTTTCAGCATTAAGTCATTAACTTCACTATTTTGTCATTTCACGTGTTTTACTTATTACATCCAATAGATAAAACAGCATAGATGCATGCAGAAACAGTAATAACCACATGATGAAACAATGAAGTTGCAAGCATAGAATTCATGCAAACACAGAAAACATGTTGAACCCATAAGTTGATCTCAAGCAGCAATGAAATTGCAATTAAAGATATTTGAATCTGCTAGAAATAAGGTAAGAGAGCAGAAGTCAAATAACTCTTCTTTCCATGATCGGAGGAACATAAGACAGAAAGAGCAAACAGAATTTGCAATCAACTGGATTAGTATAGGATCAGCATATAAATTTTCCGGAGGTTATACTCGATGTTTCTGTTTTGGTAGGTAGATGCACATGTAGAATGGTGCAGCAATGATCCGTTATGAGCTTTGATGTTGAACCTGCTGCATTTAAGGGGTTATAAACAGACAATCACCTGAGATAATAGGTCTTGTATGCCATTGGGCCTTGTTTAAAAAGAGTTGGCAAGCCATTACGTATCAGAAAAGTTCTCAACTGCAAGGAATATAAGATGAAGTTTAGAATGAAGAAATTCAACATGTACACAACATATTTTCAGTTCAGATCAGAAATAATTGTGCTCAAACAGGTGTACAGGCTTCCTCAAGTTCTTTTTTTTTTTTTTTTTTTTTTTTTTTTTTTTGGTAGGAATTCTATTCGATAAAAGCATATATACCTTGTATGTAAGAAATTTCAACTTGACCATCAGATTGGCATCTTCATCAGCTAAGCTATTGTTATCATCATCACCTTTTACCATTTGACTGCTGCCTTTTAAAATGTGAGCAGCAGTTTCCCCATTGGCTTTGAATAAGTTCAGATCAACAAAAAAGCCTATGGAAGAGCAAGAAAATCAGCAGCTAATATATGATTGGTTTATATATCACTATATCGAGGAAACACTAAAATTTATCTATTGTCCATGGATTTTGGATCTTAAGTAGAGAAAAACAGTTGATACTACAAAACAATCATGAACCCATATGCACTTGTACAAAGCTTAAGATACCTGTTTGCATAAAATATGTATCTTAAGGACCATGGGAAACACTACCATCTATTTAATGATTAAAGACCTTAGAAAACAGTAGCATCTATCTCAAAGAACATACAATACACTAGAATGTTATTACTATGTGGGATGCCAACTCTGTATAATTGTATATCATAGAGGATACAGAAGCTTTATCATTTTCAAACTAATAATACCTATCTCAAGCTGTTAATAGCATTATTTTTTTTTCCATGTCAAAACTAAACCTATTCATTCTTCACACAGGCAATTAACAATCCTTTGCCAGCAGTGAGCAACAAAAATATATAATCTCTTAAACATCCAGCAGGTAGACAACTTTGGAGAAAAAATTGTCTTGCGTGATGCATTTTTTAAAATTTTTTAAGTCTCCTATTAGAGAATTAATGGTAATAGTTTAAAAATTTTCAGGTATAATATTGACAAATTCAACAACAATTAAAAACATAAAATGCATCTTTATTATCAAACAGAAGACAATAGTTCCTCATTTAACATAGGTCAAGCTGAAGAGAAAATTACGATTCACCGGATTATATTTAAAACCCTTGAAGAAGTACAGTTTTATTGGAATCTAGAAGAAAACAAAATGCGTACCTCGATATAGTGGCCACAATTCAGGCTTCCGCCTGAAACATGTTGATTATCTTGTTAATAAATAAACAAAATATATATAATACACATACATGTATGTGTGTGCACACATATTTACATGAATCACACAATTGATCTGTCCCATTCAAACTAACTAAATGAAAAAAAAAAAAAAAAAAAAAAAAAAAAAAAAAAAAACTAAACTACAAGCAAAAAAGTTCAAAATAGACCTCATCTCCTTGTGGTATTGCCGGAAGACTGAATCATTAAACACATGGATCACCATTTTGAAGTGCAGATTGTCACTGGATACATCTTTAATTTTTTTAAAGTCATAGAAGCATTTAAAGGACGTACGATAGCGTCTTTCCCTCATTAGACGAATCATTTCCTGTAACAAGTACACATTTATACACAAGTTAATATTGATCTGACCAAGTAAAAATATTAATGCACAGTGTAACTGAACAGTGTTAGGGTAGTGATCTAAGAGGTGGGGGGATAGAAGGTTCTATCAAGCTACTTGGTTTTTTATATGAAGTGCAAAATTGACAAACAACCAATATTGATCTGACAGTGAAAATCCTAAACTTAGCAACTAATTGTCACAAATAATCAGATAAATCCAGATGGCACTGTCCAATCAACTTAGTGCACCACCACCAGTTATTTGTGTTAAATTACAAAACAAGTACTCTAACCTGTAATTTTGCAGTTGAATAATCAGCAGGATGTGCTTGTAAGAACTTTGAAATTACAGATCGGTCAGCAGTTCTCGAATGTGAATTCGATGTTTCAGTCCCAAACCAATCAAGATGATTTGGACAAAATGCGGAACCAACACCATTGAGAAGTGCTTTTATTTGCTGCAGAGATTGTTACAAAGTACTTTCAAGAAATGTGACTGTAAGCATAACTTTGCCCTCTATAGAATATGCTGGTTGTTACCTGCTTCTCATCTGACCTATTTGCAGCACAAATTTCACGAAGGGTTGGTCCCAAGTCTAAGCCAGCTGGAAATATAAAGCAACATTAGACAATAGACACATTTGAGACAATACAAAAATAAAACAAGGTAACAAAGAATTAGGTACATTGTTGCTTCGATAAAAACAAAGGTGCACAAAGGAGAAGTAATCCCATATACTTCTAATGCCTTATTGAGTGTTAGAACTTGTGAGTTGAAGGTTCAGCAGAACATCCAACAAGTGGCAAAGATGTAAATCAGGCAAGGCAGCAGGACTCTATAAACTAGGGACCCAAGGTGGCATGTATGACACCCTACATGAAACCAAACTAATTTTAGTAATTTCAAGTTTTGTCATTATGGTTTCATGTTTATAAATTTCAAGGTTTGGATGTGATTTTAAAATTCAGGTTTCAGATTTATTTTGATAACTTGGTATTAGCTTAAATAAAATAAAAATAAAAATAAAAATTAGACAGAATAATAAAATAAATAAGACTGTTAAAAAAATAGTTAGGTCCTTCAATTTTGTAGCAGAACAACATCATATATGAACAAAGAATGCTAACTGAAACAGTGACTCACTTAAAAGGATACTAAATGACCACTTCCTTACGGCAACTGTTCAAATTTACTGAATTTGAGTATGAGACAGCTAATGACGAACATAGTACTCTGATTCCCCATGTACTGTGGGACACAGTTGTCCCACAATTCTATAATGCTTCAATATTTACATAAGACCATGCTATCCTTGTGATAAGAAGGATCAGATGTAAAATGAATAATTAACGATGTTCAAATTAACAAAATGCAGGAAAATAAAAGCTTACCACCCTCTAATGGTGGCAGAGGAAAGTCCCTTAACACCTGCTCCAAATGTTCCAAGCTCTCACGCCTTACAACACGAGCCACAAGACCCTCCAAAATATCGCCTTGCACCTTTATATGGTCTTTTGATCCTGAGCATCCAGGCAAGGAAAAGGGGATAAGAAAAATATTTCTAAAATAACATCAGAAAGCATTCAGTAAAAACACGATAGCACTCTTTGCAAATAATATGCCAAGGATGTAGGAAACAAGACTTTAAAGGCACTATAAAGATGCTAATAGTAAGAAAAGGATAATTTCAGGTCAACTCATAAAACCATGATTTTGTTATTTGCTTATATGTGTTTGAGCTTGATATACTAATAGTTCTGTTTTTTTTCCTTTTATATTCATTGCATTGTAGGAAAGCTCAAGGCAATATGGCATTTGATGAATAATATATAAAGTGGCATTATCATGTAACTGAAGCAAATAAAGCAGTGGAACAATATATGATGCGGACTCCCAAATGCTGCTTAAGCATAAGGTACAAATACTCTCTAAAGAAACAAGAACTAAATTTCATTATTGGTGCATAGGACACAAGCATAAGGAACTCATCCGAAGCACACAGCCAATTTGGCAAATACACACATAACATGCTGTTCTAATCAGGATAAAACTTACCAGGGACAGATATATCAGCAACTTCATCCAGAGCCTTGCAGACAGAGGTTGCTGTTCCCTCCTCACGGAGGGCATCAAATGCAGCAAAAAAAGACGTCACTGACTTCCTTCAAAATGAAGGGGAAAAAATTGTTACAAAACTTTAGCTAGTTTTCATTACCTCATAAATAAAGCAAAGTTTTTAACAGTCCAACAAAATTCTCTCTTTTGTCAAAGAACCAAGATTCAAGCAGTAGTTAGATTCTACTGCCCATGTACAGTGCAATAAGACGAGAGCAAACCTATTTTCAAGTGTTTCAATTTCAATTTAGATATACCTCATTTAGCTTTAAATATTGTCAGTAAATTATCAAACTTTAGAAAATCAACAGGAGTTCATCCAACCATTTCCAAGCATATCAACCATTAAGCTCCAGACATCACCAGTAAATGATCACATTTTAGAAGAGAAGTAAAAGGACTTCATCCAAAAATTATGCAAGGTGTGACATTTTTAGAAGAGAAGTAACAGGATTTCATCTAAATAGTTGTGCAAGTAAAAACAAACTGATAATGAGTTCTCATGATATGAATCAAAATGGAAACGGCAATTCTTAATAATTCACCTTGTTGAGAATAACCACACATGATTTGTTGGTAGGCGCCACTTTCTGCAAAAAGCAATTATATCTGGAGTTGAATGAAACTTTGGTTTTCCATTCCCCAATTCTGCTACTGCAGTAACAACTACTGCTCAAAGACAAGTATTAGAAAAATATCAGGAAGTGCAGCGACAATATAATTGACGCACACAAAGTAAGAAACATGGAATCCAAACATCCATACTAAAATCTGAAGACAGCGTAATGGGTTCAGGCATAATGGGCATCACATTGATATAGGGTATCCAGATCCTACAAAGTATGAACTGGTCTATTTTTGCTTGGTTAAATAAATAAAAATTAAGAAAGGAAGGCCGTAATATATCTAAACACCCAAATCTCAAGAAATGAATCAGGAACTGAGTGGTACAAAACATGAAAATGTAAGGGGGAAAAATAATGGAAGTGTGGCAAAGATAGGCTTGATTGCTTGAATCCTTCAGCCATGTAAATAGATAACTGAAGTGAAATTACTAGTTCTGTGGTCAAAATTGCCTTCTATTACATGATCAAGGCTTAGATTTCAAGTAATGGAACTATGGAAGTGTTGCAAAGATAGGCTAGAATCCTTCAGCCATGTAAATATATATACTAGTTATATGGTCAAAATTGCATTCTATTACATGATCAAGGCTTAGATTTCTTCACTTAGAGATCACAATAAGATTTCAGAATTCATGTCCTTGACTTGGAGAAGACACTGTACTTCAAACAGTTAAAGTAGTACAGTTGGTGCAATAAAATAAATAAGTTCTGAATGGTTGTAAGTTTAATTGCTAAAAGAATTAACATATCAATTGATTTGATAGTTGAATGTCACGTGCCAACTTGGCTTAGTTTTGTTCCCTTACCATAATCTTCCCGTGGACGTTGTCCATGATCTCCCAAGACAGCAGTGACTAGTTCCATTGATAGGCACATGCGGTTTTTCTGAAAGAGGATAGCTAGTTACACTATCATAGTAAAGGTTAAAATCTTTCAAGGGCAGTCAGAACCAGACTATGCAAGTCCTATATTCATTAAAAGTAGTGTCTTTACATCATAAATTAGCATAGATAATTCATGCAACACATGAAATAAATACACCACTTAATTTAACTTAATATCACCATAGACCATGAAAAGTACTGGTATATGAGGTTGAAATAAATGCAACTCTCTATGTATATTCAATGTAACCATATACCAAAGAAGCAAATTGCACTAAAATATGATATGCCAATTCATTTCAGCAGTTTTCCCAATAATCTAAACCTAATACCATTGACAATAGAATGAAAACCACCCAAAGCCTCAAAAAAGCAGGAAAATAATCTTTTCAGATATAAGTCACTGATTTATAATTCAACTAACGTTTTCTTACTAACCAGCAATATTTATTGTCTCTCCAACAGACACCATACAATAGTTCAAAGCATGGGACCATAGAAAAAAAAAAAAATTAATAGTTTTTAGAAGGTTAAACTGGAATTTGAAGCTTTCTTATCAATACAGCTTACCATCTTCAGCCAAATAGCATTAACCAATCACCATTCAGGTACCACAAAAAGCAGACCTAACGATGGTCTCCTACTCTCCTAGGTTCTTTATGAAGTTAATGCAGCAAACACATTTTAGTTAATATTTCCATCATAGAAAGGCAAAGAAAATTTTCTAATTCTGAACCTCAAGATATGCATTGAACTCTTCTTGCTTCCTGCTTGCATGAGGACCCCAAGCTTCTTGAAACATACGTCCTAGAACAAAGACACCAACAGCAGTATAACTGCACCAAACATAAATTTTGCAAATTTCAGTTCATATATAAAAGAGCTGATACTTTCGTATATAGGAGTTCAAGGGCAACAATAATCACAAGACTAATATATATATTGTACATGACCATTTTTAGATCATTGCAATTTTATGACAGAATTCAAAGATGTGCATGCATTAGGCTTAGTTTGTCATTCCCCACAAATTATTCTGAACTGGTGCACGTCACATAATTCAAAGAACAAACATGTCCAATACCATATAATTCATTCTAATTTTAACAATAATAAGAGTTCTATAAAAAAAAATAGCGCACTCATCCCAGCTCCCTTTTTCTAATAACACACCAAGCAATAGAATCAACTAGGCAGACAAAATAACAAACTGCAATGACACTATTCGTGGGATCTTTAGGTATTGTGCTAGCATGTTTGTCTGGATTTAAATGTTACCTAGTTCCTCAAGCAGGGAGCATATAATCATGCATCAGAACCAATCAATGATTCAACTACAGAGTAGTAGCACTACAAACTTGACATGAACTAAGAGAAAATGAAATACAATAGGCAAACAATCCACTGCATGGTTACTGACTATCAAATAAACAACATATGTTCACTTGTTTTATAGGAAACTCATATCAATAGAGAACATAAAATAAAAATATTACAACCAGACAACAGAAAGGATAATTATTATGAACCTACATGTTACCAAAGCTATTTTTGGCATATGCTCCACCCTCATGTCCCGCATACATAAAAAGAGACCCAGAATGCTTAAGAGATACCTGAATAAAATCAGTCCAAAAGTACCACTGAATCAAATAAATACGTAAATGGTTGAAAATTAAGGGAAAAAGGAAAAAAAAGGCAACCACTTTTTTTTTTTGGGGGGGGGGGGGGGGGGGGGGGGGGGGACAAAGAGTGATAAAAGCTCTTAAGTAGGACAACAAGGATCCGTGATTAACCTTAAAAAAAGGGAAGCATGTGACTACCAAATTAACTAAGTACAAGAATCTATGGGTATATTCCTACCTCCACTGTGGCCAAACCTTTGGTCACCATCTCGATCATCCGTGCTCTAATCTGAAAATTGCTATCATCAAATTAACTTAACTCACATTTAAACCTCATTCCAACAACATTGAAGAATGAATTACCTCTTGATCAGACTTCTCATTTTCAAATTTGGGATAGAATGTAGCTCTTACTTGAGCTTGTGAGAACGTGGACTTGCCAACTGTAAAATTCTCCAGTAAATTACCTCTAAATACATTGCTAAGAGCAGCATTCTTTTGCCCATTTATTGGTTTGTTAACTCCATTAGTCTGGACTTCAGCTGAAGCTTGATTAGTTGGAGCATTTACAACTTCAACTGCTGCTGGTTCACTTACTTTTCCATAAGATTTCTGCTTCCAAACAACCTTTTGATTATGAGCTGGTATCTGATTCATCGTTCCAAAGCCTCCAAACTGCAAATGTGGCAATGGAACACTAGAGTGCACATTTTTGTCGGCAATATCCAATAAATTGATTCCACTGGTGACATCTTCAACAGCAGCAGCAGTTGCAGGTTCCATTTTTGAGGATGAACTGGGTATCCTATTGGAACTTGGCTTTTCTTGCCATCTTTGTTCCCTAAAACCACCCCTTTTCTGCATTTTGTAAATAAAAACCAATTACCATCCCTTTCCGGGATGCTGCCAACAAAAGAAAATGACGGAAAGAAATTGGACATACTCAATTATAGAGAGCCCTTAAGAATCTACGAGATTCAAAATTATAGAATTGAAGAATATGCAAAAAGAATCTACGAGATTCAAAATTATAAAATTGAAGAATATGCAAAAAAAAACATCTGATGATCTCACAGTGTAGAGATCCAAATAAAAGCAAGCTCTGAATATGAACCCTAAGTGCATACTAAAAGGAGGGTGTTAGAAATTAGGAGCCTCAAATAGTAATAATGCTTTGAAACTTCTATAAGATATCTACTATTAAACTGAGTGCACATTTAAAACAAGAGAGATTTTTCTCTCTCAAGTTTCGATAGCTTGACCAGTTTCCTCACACTTCCCATTCATTTGAGAGGGAAAATCTGGCAAGGTTGCCGTTATGCTTCACTCGTTGAAAATACACAGTGATCAAGCACAGTTAGCAACTCTGCGTTTAAATCATCATAACACAGATAAACTTAAATCGGATAAAACAAAATATAAACATAATGATTAAATTAAGGAAAACAGTAATCCGTATATAACTATGTCAATTCCATCCAGAATTACATATATGATCATTCAATTTCCGTCCGATAGAGAAATTTTCAGCTCAAGAGAGCACACCAGCTTCCAAATTGGAGCAAATAATGGTTAACATTCTCTGCAACATTCATACGACATATGAAGACAACACAATAAACATACAGACGGAAGAAGATTACCTGCTTCTGCGACATAGGCGGTGGACGGAAGAGTGAAGTGGAGAAAGTGAGAGAGCGAGAGTGGATGAAGATGAAAGTTCTGGAAGGGAGAGAAGCAGGTGAAGAAGAAGAAGAAGAAGAAGAAGGATAGCGAGAAAAGCGCGCGACGTTGAAACAGAAAATGATCCTGCGACGCCGACATCCACAGGAGAGGAGTGTGTGTGTGTATCCACGTAAATATGGAGGAGGTAAGGAGCGTAAATTAGCGGGGAAGTGCAGAGCGGCGCAACCGTCTTCGAGTCAATCGGTTCCAAAAGGAGAAAGTAGAAAGGCCCAGTCTTTGCTTGCTTACGTTATTGGTGAGACTGACTCAAAGTGCTCACGTGTTAGTTCATCACTTTTATTTTATTTTTATTTTTAAATTTTTTAAAATTAATTTAGTATAAAAATTACTCCGTACTATATTTAATAACTAGTAATTCACCCGCGCGATGCACGGGAAAAAATTATGTTATTATAAATATAAATAAAAAATAGAAAAACTAAAATATTTCAAATTGTTTAATATAATAATATTTTTGAGCTTCCATTGGTCAAGTATTTATTATTTTTATAGAATACAAAATTACAATTAAAATTAAAATTAAATTAAAATTTTGTATGGTTAATATAATCTCTAATTATGTGCATATTCAAATAAACTTATAGAGAGAATTTACATAATTACATTGATTTATTCTTAATTGTATTTCATCTATATTATAATTTTCACAATACGAATAATAACTAAGATAATTACATTTGGAATGCAAATTTCAAATTTTGTATGAATAAATTTAAACTCTAATTGAACACATTTTTTATATGATTATATAATATATAGCTATTTTATTTTTCAAAAGTAAATTTTTTATATGATTATATAATATATAGCTATTTTATTTTTTAAATGTTGTGTGTGTGTGTGTGTGTTTTTTTTTTTTTAATAATAAAAGATGTTTGTGGCATTAATTGTAACATTAATTACTTTACAAACCATATAGCTTTATTATAGTTAAGATTACGGAGTACTATTTAAAAAAAAATTAAAGAAATTAAAAAAAATTAATACTTACCATTCAGCAGCCGCATTGTGCTTCAACTTTCTATTCTCTTCTCTTTCACTACCACGATAGCACACCTGAAAAAATAATAGCAAAAATAGCAGAAAATAGAGGTAGAGATGAAGAAGAAAAGCTGGGTTTAAGAGAGAAAGGGGATTTAGGGTTTGATTGCTGAATTTTTGTCCAAAATCAACGATAAAAATAAAATCTCCAATAAAAACAACATAATATAATTATCTGAGCTAATACATCCAAAAGCCTCTAACCAACTTCCACAAAATCAGCTCTGCAAATCTTTGTTATGTCTGCCCAAACGACATCGTCTGAGCCTTCGTGGCAACTATTTCCAACAGCCAACTGCAAACGTCGTCGTTCCAAGCTTTTATTCAACTTCTCCAACGACTAACTTCATACGGTGCCGTTTAAGTAAGTGGCTGATTTATCCCCTTACCAAAACGACGTAGTATTGGTCCTTCGACTTCTCATTCCTGTCTTTCCACTCTTGACTTCTGAACATAGCTCCTTCCTTCCCAACTCACTTCCAATTCCTTCATTCACTTTTTCTCCTTCCATATTCAAGGTTATGACAACCACCACCACCGTCTTCTAGGGATTCTTGTTCTCGGCTTCTCCAGAAACTTCTATGGTGGTTCTCGCACTGGATTCCTCTCCGTCTCCCAGCGTCGCTGATTCTCCGGCTTCGTTGTTTAATCCCAAAACCTCCCCGCACACATCTCACTCTCTGTATAACTTAGCGCCCCGACCAGGGAATCAATTGCCGATCTTTTCCGTATTCATTTCTGTCGGGCCAACAGGGGTTGGGGGTTAGGGTTATGAGTTGCAGACCAAAATTTGTGAGATTATAGCAAGGTTAATTGCTGCCTTGAATTGTTGGTTTGTTTTTGAATGGCATTGGGGGATTTGATGGCTTCCAGGTTCTCGCAGTCGTCGCCCACCGTTGTTTCCAGTCACTTGGAGGACTATGCCAATCACGAGGATTAGGGACTCTTTGGAGACTGCTCGCAGTAGCTATGCCGATAGTGGCAGTGGTAGTGCTAGTGGTGACAATGCCACCACTTCGATGACGACTGCCGCAGACCTAGTGTATTTAATTTTTTTTTAATTTCTTTATTTTTTTTTAATTTATGCTTATATGGCAAGCCAAGTACTCGATCCAAAGCTGATGTGAAAGCCACAAAGGCATTTATTGGAACGTACCAAGTTGATGTGTTCATTTACACTTTTTAAAAATTTATGGGGTGTTTGGTAAGATGAAATTGCAATTCCATTTCTATCAAATTCTATGGAATGGTTTGGTTGGAGGGAATTACAATTCTATGAAATTGCAATTCCATGCTTTGTGGAATTACAATTCAATTGTAAATTAATTATCACTTTACCCTCATTATCATTATTATATTAATATTATATAAGAACATTTTAGTATTTATTCACTTCTTCCCTCTCAATTCCCCATCACCCTAATTCTTCATACCAAACAAATTCTTTTCCCACCGAATTATAATTCCTTTCATCCCTAATTTCCTCCTTCCAACCTTAACAGGGCATTTGGTCGGGGAGGGGGAATTAATTTAGTATAATTACTATTTCACCATTTTCCTTTTATTATAGTTAAGCTATATTATACTATTCTTCCAGAGTTCCCGTATCATCGTATCATCGTATGACTAATAATGGAATACTTTAGTATATAATTCCGTGCTCGCAAAGAAATATAAACTTTAAAAAGGTATTTGGAAATATACTACATATAAACAAGGAAAATGACACAACACTTATTTCTCTAAATTATTTTTGTATTCAAATGATTCCATCAATCATTTTGACGATTTTTTTTCATCTCTATTAAATAAGCGTTTGAACTCTTAAATTAATGGCAAAATAGGTATTTCAAATCATTTTTATTTTCTAACAAATTATTGCTTGAATTTTTCAAATTTTGCAAATCATTTCCAAATATTATATGTATTATTTGAATATTTGTGTTTAAGTCTTTAACTTTTTTATTAGAATTATCTTAAAATTATAATTATAATATTTATAAATGGTATCAGTTCTTTTTCACATTTATTCTGATTCCCACATATAAGTAATAATTTGTTGGAGAAGAAAAAATAAATAAAATTCCTAGTTTGTTATTATTTTTAACAGTCCAAAGCCCAAAGGTCCATTTAATAAAGAGAGAAAAAAATTGTCACTTTTAAAATAACTAAAGGAAGAATATGAATACATAAATAATTAATGAAAAAATGCTATAAGCATATGATTTAAAGGACAAAAGTTTCAATTTTTCTATAAATAAATAACACATAAACTGGGGTACACTATTTTTTTAAATACTAGTATTTGCACTCGTGCGATGCACATAATAGATTTGTTGTAATATATTAATAATATATGAATTGATATATAATTATTTAAATTAGAACATCAAATATTATATAGTGCAATTAAAGATATGGTTTGGATCATTTATATATTTTGATGTTATCATTGTTTGAATTTGTGCAAATAATTGCTCAAATTAATAGCTATATTTAGATGTACGCATGTGGTGCTATAACTTTGAAAATTTTGTTTATCATTATTTAGTATTTCCATAAATTAGGCAAATGTGCTCGCTCTCTAACAACCTAGTTATAGAAATGAATTGGTATCCTTATTTACTTGTATGAAAGATATATATATTTTTTGTCTAGATATATAGCAATGTTGTCATTTAAAAAAAAAAAAAAAAAAAAAAAAAAAACTTAATATCACCGATTATATTTACACATTATTGAAACCTCTTTGTAGACGACATTTGTAGTGGCAACACAATCTTGTTCATCTTCGTCTAGAGCTAACACTTCCAATCCATCAAGACGGGTTACTTGAGTGAAAATATATAATGGTAGAATATCACACAATTAGTTATCCTTTTATATTTTCAGTTAATTAGTAATAGCAGGTTCATTTTTAGCCAATTATATATATATATATATATATATATATATATATATATATATATATATATATATATATATATATATATATATATATATATATATATTCAGTCAATTAGTCCATTAGAATATCAAATACAATGATATTTTTACCTAATTTTCGTTCCATTTTTATGTGATGATGTAGATATTATTATTGAAATAGTTTCGTTCCATTTTTAATTTGCCTTTACTATTGTTTAAAATATGCATTTACTATTGATAATGTAGAATATTATTATTGAAATATTTTCCTTCAATTTTTAATTTCCATTCCATTTTTAATTAAAATGCAATGATCTAACCATTTTTTTAATTTTAATCAATTATGGATCATTTTTTATTTGCAATCAATTATTAATATTCATTTCCTTTTATATTTTCAGTCAATTAGTAATAATAGATTCATTTTCAGTCAATTAATCTTTTTTATTTTCAGTCAATTATTCTTTTTTATTTTCAGTCAATTAGTCAATTATAATATAGATGCAGTGATATTTTTACCTAATTTTCGTTCCATTTTAATTTGATGATGTAGAATATTATTAATGAAATTTTTTCATTCCATTTTTAATTTACCTTTACTGTTTTTTTAAAATATGCCTTTACTATTTGATGATGTAAAAATATTATTATTGAAATATTTCCTTTCCATTTTTAATTTTCCTTTACTTCTCAAAAAAAAATGCTCCTCTTATATAGAAGAGCTTCTTTTTCCAAACATTTTCAATGTGAGATCAAAATGATCGCATGTCATTTACAAAGGGAGCCACTTTTGTCTTATTTTATTTTATTTTTATTTTATTTTGTATATCGTTTTATTTGGATTATTATTATTATTATTATTATTATTATTATTATTATTATTATTATTATTATTATTATTATTGACGATTTCGCCAAAATTTTAACAATTTCACAATTTTAACAATTTATCTTTAATCAAAATAGCAAAATATTATTTAATAACTCAGTAATTTGCTACAAACTGCTAAAAATTGAAACAACACATACATTTTGGGTTAATTTTTCTCAAACCTCAATAATAATAATAAATAAATAAATAATAAAAAACTAAAAAAGAAGACAAAACTAAGGTTTCTTAAATAAGAACCTTTTGACTTCTCAATACTTGTCACATTAATGGACAAATAATTATGTTTGTACCTCTTATATAGAAGAGTTTAAGAGCTCCTATT